AAAAGCAAGCAGTTCATACAGCACTTTAACTTAGCACCCTCCCTCTAGCAACCTTCACCTGGCAACATCCATTTAACCCAAAACAAATGACCGTGATCTCCTGTATGGCCTGAATTCCACCGGATGAACCAGGAGTTCAGATGTTTGTCATAGATAAGGAATGAATCTCTGGATTGGCCACTCCCGGATTCCTTAGTTTGGAACTTTGAACACAAATAAGTGAAGTTACTGCTTTCAGTTATGTCTGCCATGCAACATGACCTCCAAGTGTTTGGCAAGCTTGACAGGCATTGATACATATTGTCCTAGGAGACTGGAAGTCTAAACTTAATTTCAGTGTTAGAGGAAAGAGCTATTAACTATTACAACTATTAAATCATTGAACTATTAAGTAAGCCAACAAAGAATAATTCATTGCATCAATTATTGGCATATGAATAGGTTGAAGTTTTAGCTTTGTCTGCTCTTGAGTAATATTCATATGACAACAAAGTAACTAAGGATTGAGAATATAACCAATATGTTTTTACATAATACTGAATAATCAGTTTGGGTTAGTATTATTGTCTAATTAAATATTTATCCTGTTGGCATATATATAAAGTTTATCATTTGAATAACCTTTTACTGGATGAATATGTCATTTGCACCTAAATTGTTAGGTCTGATCATCACTGCTTCTCTGGTGTGTAGGCGTGGTAGATGCCATTATCCAAATTTTATAGGCGAAGAAAATGAGCCAGGGTTTAAGTAATTACCCAATATAGTGTGAGGTATTTGTTGCCCCTTTTCATTTGCCCGTGATAGAAACCCAACTCAAACCAGCATAAGCATAACAGAAAACTCTGAAATGTTTGAGCCTAGGAGCTGTATCTCTCAAACAAACTGGCTAAATATGGCAGATATAGAACTGCTCAGCTCAGATGTATCTCATCAGCTTAACATCCTCAGTGGAAAAAGTGAGACTTTCTCTTTCCTCCAAACTCTGGAAGAAAATCCTTGGGAGTACTCACTCTCACTGGCTTATTTTAAGTTTGTGGTCAGAGGGGTAGGATAAGCAGATTTGATAGGGCTGGCTCAATGACCAACCACCCATGTGCCCAAGGAAAGAAGATTAAATAAAAGACAGGATTCAACCCCTACAAAGTACAAAAAAGCGATTGTCTCTGGAAAGAAGGGCTCTTGCTTTCGAAGGGTGAAAAAATGGTTTGAACTAAGTTAAGATCGTAAGCAGACATTTTGATTTCTCTTTTCAGTTAATCTTTACTGATGCATTGAAGCAGTGGTTTTCATTTGGTTGTGGTGATGGGCCGCATTCATGTCAAAATCACCTGGAGGAGAATGGATGTGTACACTCACATGCATGAAGCCCTGCGTGGATGGAATAAGGATCTTTGATGGGAGTGGGTGAGACAATAAAAGGGTAGAATCTAGAGTTTTAAGAGATACCTCTCTGTATTTAGGCATTTGAATAGCAATACATGATTAGTAAACATAGAGCTTCTTGATTTTAGTTATATTATCTTTCATTTTAAAGAAAAAAATGTGTATCACATTCCTTAGTTATTTATGTAACCGTACCTGTGAAAAGCTCATCCATTCGGATGAAGGATTCATGTTAAGATAACAGGCAGCAGGTAGGGACTTACCTTGGAAGAAATAAATAGCCACTAAATATTTGTTTTGTAAAACCTTGCAGACAACACAGCATCGTGCAATACACCCATGTAACAACCTGCATATGTATCCTCTTTATGTAAAATAAAAGTCAAAATTATTTGAAAAGCTGAAATCAATTGTTGATTGCATTTTTTAATGCTCCTGGTATGTATGATGATCAACATTAATAAGTAAAATGAGAGCTGTTAGTCTTGAGGGTATCAGTTACTAAGGTCTCTCTAGCCACATTTATGAGACTGAATGAGAGAAAAATATCAATCAATGCTGTCCTGCTTAAGTAATATTTTCACTGCATGCATCTGAGGGTTAGGCCATCATAAGTCTTAAAGTCCTTAGGAAAAGATACCAATTTCCTCAACCCTTCATTAAATATGTATTAAGGTATCCTTTATCTCTTTTTTAATGGTCTCTAAATGCCAAAATATTTTTTAATTTCGGATGTTTTGTAACATGTTTTATTTAAATCTTTTTTCTGATCTCTACAGGTAATAGGTAATGATCATATCTTAATAAACTCTTAATTTTTTAATGTAATATAATTCACAAGAACTCTAGTTCTTTGTTAATGACTGTGTATAATAAAAGAAATGTTGCTTATCCTCATCTTTTAATCCCCTGGCCCAGTCTGTTATCTGCCCTTTTATAACCTTTCCTTTTTTCTACAAAGTGCTTGACAAGATATCAGTCTCTAATCTCTTAGTTCATAGAAAAATCCTCTAAAGTCTTTCCAACCTGAGTTTCTTTTTAAACTCAGCACTGAAATCCTCTCCAGTGTAGAACAAATCTTTCTTCTTCTTCTGAAAATCACTTCAAAAGGTGTTTCATTTTTTTAAAAAAAACTAGTAAACCTCATCATACTTAGATGCCATCTTGTTCAAAGCTTTTAATACTTTGTTTTAGGCATGTTACTAAAGTGCTGGGGTAAGACTTACCACATGTAAAGATATTTACAGCGTGAGTGGGCTGTAAAATCTAATCACCTTGGACAGCACAGACAGAATGTGAAAAGGATACTAAAATTAAGACACCTTCTTTCTATTCCTTGTCTAAAGCTATCTTCGACTTCACACTTTTTGAAAATCAAAGCCTACCATTATAATAAAGTCACAAAGAAATAAGTCCTTTTTGTCAATTGCCTAATAAAAATGGAAGGAGAATTTAGTCAATGCCCCTCAAACCAAGCTGTGGTTTCATTTTTCATATTAGCAACAAAAACACTATAAAAAAGAAATCGAAATCCAAAATCCTACACTTAATCTTCCATTGCTAAATTTAAGAAGCTTTGTATGGCATGGACATGAAATATGCCTATGTATTCATAAAGTATTTTAAGCATAAACGCAAGCCATCTGCCCATCTTCGTGTCTCCCCACTCTTCATGCTATTTTCCTTCTTACCCTTACTTAGTGTCTCTTCTTTTTAGTTTTAAAGCAATAAACAGGTTTAAGAAAAAATACATACGTGATCTCATTTGTTACCTAAAACTATGGGGATATATTTATGTTTGTAAAAATTCTATTTTTGTATACATACCAGTATATTAACATGGCTACATAGAAAAAGGGCTGAAAAAATAACAAGTTATTAAAAATAGTTACCAGAGGAGTAGAATGAGTTGAGGTTGATAACAATGTATGAAGACAGAATTCCACAGACACGTTTTATTCTTCACGTCACAATAAAAAACATGCCTATGTTTAACTTGCTGAAATGTTTTACAAAATTATAGCCACTTTCAAACTATTGTTTAGTAGAGAATTTTGAGTCAAAGGTGAAATCCCAGTTCCTTGATCACCGACATTCTTACCCTTTGAGTCTAAGTGAGCAGAGGTGAGTTTCAGTTATACAGAAGAAGAAGTAACATTAAATGTAGAGAAGTTGAGGACATTAAAGAAATGAGTCATTGCTGTGGTTGTAAGAGTTTATTGGTGACTTTCAATAAAATATTTCAGCAAGAGTGGAAATAAGAAATTGGAATAAGAAAAGGTTAAAGAACTTAAATTTGTTCAGCTGAGTGTAGACTATCTTCTCAAAACATTAATACTTCAGGGAATGAGAGAAACAGATTCATAGCTTAAAGGAATAATAGGGAAGGACATATTTTTAATGTAGGAGGGAAGACTTTATCATGTTGAGGCCAGAGGGGAGGAAGACTATAGTGGAAATCTCATGAAAATACAAGAAGTTGGGTTTTGATGTGACAAACTTCAGGAGGAAGCCTTGAAGAGACAGGGAAAAAGTTTAAAAACTTTAAAAAGATGCAGTAATGCCTAATGCTATTTAAAAGATGCAATGGTGGCTAATTCTCTTGAAAGCTAAAATCTTCATGCTATGAAAATAAATTTGACCAAGTAAACAGTGGCTTTTCTACAGAAAAAAAGAATGACAGCATTTTTTTTAACTTAAAAGAATTCCATTAACAAAGAAGAGTCACAATAATGATTTTTTACTTAAGAACTCCATTTGTTTTTACCTGAGTGACAGTACAGCAATGATTAGACAATCCAACAAATCCTTATAACCTAGTTAACTTCTCAGTTTTTCCTAGCATGTGATGTTGAAATCTCACAGGGAGAACTGTGCTACTTTTTAATAAAAACTATCTGGACAGCAGTTAAGTGGAGCATTAACCTGTTTTGGAGAAAAATAAATCTGCTGACTCTTGCATGTCTCTGGAAATCAAATGACCGGAAGAAAAATATAAGTGACACCTCTAAATTTAGAGAGTAAAGAAAGAGAAATTAAAGACCCAAGTAGATACACTCATGTAAAATTGTAGAGTCATTCCTCGGTATCTGTAGGGGACTGGTTCCAGGACTCCCCAAGGGTGACAGAATCCACGGATGCAAATCCCTTATGTAAGGTGATGTACTATTGGCATATAATGTATGTACATCCTCCTGCATACTTGAAATCATCTCTAGATTATTTATAATATCTAATACAATATAAATGCTATGGAAATTGTTGTCATACTGTATTGAAGAGTGAATAATGACATGAAAAAAGAAGTCTGTATGTGCTCAGTAGAGACACAATGGTTCACTGTTTTTTAAAATATTTTTGACTTATGTTTGATTGAATCCACAGATGTGGAACCCACTGATATGAAGGGCCAACTGTATGTATGAATTTATAGAGTGCCTCCAACATGCAAGGGACTACATTGGGTATTGGGGTAAATTTTAAAAGTTTAGGCATTTGAGAAACTTTAACATGCTTTAAACATATTCAGAATTATTATAAGTTTAAATTATTACATTTAAACTTTTAAAATCTTCCATGTAATGAATACGTTCTGTGTAATCCTGATGGAAAAATTTTACGTGATCGCTAAATAAATTTTGGAAAATACAGAAAGGAATTAAATAGAGAATTAAAATAACACTTAATCCCTCTACTGAGAAATGGCCACTATTAATATTTTGATGTTTTTCCTTACAGTAATTTTTTTCCCCATGCATTTCTTTTATTACATGGCAAATAACCTATTATCTCCATTGGATGGAGTCCTATGAGTGGAGTTACTGGATGGGAGTGCATAGACATTTTTTAAAGTCTTGAAACATATTTACTAAATTGATTTCAAGAAAACTTCCTTCAGCTCACGTGCACTTGCCTGGATTAAATGTGTAAGTTTTTGAAAATCTTGACTAATTCACTGGATAAAAATGCAATCTCATTGTTTTTATTTTCTTTTTCATTAGTTTCAACAACCAACATTCATTAAAAACTACTATGCACAGGGAGCAATTCTAGACCCTATTTAGATATAAATGTGAATATGAAAGTGTCTGCCCTGAGGGAGCTCGAAACAGAGGAAACATTTACATAGGAGGCAGCAAGATGAATGTTCTGATGATGCACAGGGTGGACTCTAAGTGATGGGAGCAGAAAGGAGGAGAGTTTAACCTTTCTTGGAGGCCTATGATTAATGATTTTTTTTTTCTCTTGGAGGATAAAGAGTACACTGAAAATTGTAAATATTCTTTCTTTCTTTTTTTTTTTTTTTTCCCAAGAGACAGAGTCTCACTGTGTCGCCCAGACTGGAGTTCAGTGGTGTGATCTCAGCTCACTGCCCCCTCTGCCCCCCAGGTTTAAGCAATTCTCCTGTCTCAGCCTCCAGAGTAGCTGGTATTACAGGCGCTCGCCACCACACCCGGCTAATTTTTGTATTTTTAGTAGAGTCGGAGTTTTGCCATGTTGGCCAGGATGATCTCAAACTCCTGACCTCTTGATTCATTCACCTCGGCCTCCCAAAGTGCTAGGATTACAGGCATGAGCCACTGTGTCTGGCTGTAATTGTTCTTTAATTTGAATACAAGTCTATAAAAGAAGGTTATCATTTTCATTTTATAGGTAAGGAAACAAGTTTAAAGAGAGAATGATTTACTTTGAGTGACAGATCTAGCAAAGAACAAAGAGGAAATGAGACTGTAACATCTATCTCCTTCAAAGACGCCACATCTTATCTTCCTGCATAGATTCTCTGCAACTCCCAAGAAGATTATTTGATCTCTTTTGTTTTGTTGTTTGTTTAACCTGAGAATCTTGTCTTAGTTCAGAGATCAATTTGATTTTCCAGTTCTGTTTCTACTCAGATGTTCAAGGCATTGAGTGAGCTCCAAGTTAGATCTGAGTGGTCCCTGGAGGCCCCCAAGTTTAATCAGCTCTTGTCTTGGATGAGGAAACTGATGCTCAGAGAAGAAAGCATCATAGTTACTTGTGGGGGAGCTGACACCAGCACTTGCATGTCCTGATTTCTAACCCACGTGGCCTTCCTCAAAACCACACTGGTTTTGGTGTTTAATATTTGGTTCAACAATATCTGAGGTCTGAACCCCAAATCAAATGCATTTTTTTAAAGTGGGGGAATCAATGTTCACTTTGTTCAAGTTCTTTTTCTGTGTTGGTTGAAGTGTGCAGAGATATTTAGACAGTCTGCTCTGCTGCTTTCAATAAGGGAAAGGAAGGGGAGAAACTGAACATTTGAGTGCCTACTCACTATATGCCAGACACTTTGGTACTTTTTACCATGTAGTCCTCATAACAAATCTTTGATGTAGCTATTATAATCTCCAAGGCACAGATGGGAGTATAGGGGGAGTTTAAAGAACTTGCTTAAGTTAAATTCCTCAGCTTCTACGCATTAGTGGGAAGATCAGAACTAACGTCTGTCTGACACCAAAGCCTCTGCCCTTCCCACTGTATCCCGCAGATTCCAAGTCCTCATTAAAGATTGATGTAATCTTGAGTACTGGATAGATGTGATTATGATCTGTTATAAATACTCACTTCTGCATCATCTCTTGCTATTGCTGAATCCAATTCCCTGCCCCCACTCTTCTCAGCTCCAAGCACCAGCTCCAAGCACCTGGAATTTACTTCAGTTCCTCGGATGAGCCATTGGATCTCTTGCTTGAGACTCAGTAGGAGGTAGTGCAGAAGAACAGTTAAGCATGAGCATTCTAGAGCCAGAATGCTTGGGTTCAACTCTATACTCAACTACTTACAAGCTGTGTCATGTTGGGCAAGATGTACAAACTCTGTTCCTCAGCTTTCCTATCTGGAAAATGGAATCCATAACAGTGCACATACCTCATCGGGCTGTTGTGAGGATGCAACAAGACCATGTGTGTACAAGACTTAGCACAGGGCCTAACATATTATAAATACTTAATAAATATTATAAATATTAGTGATTATTACTGTTGCCTCTGCAGTTGTCCACATTCCGTTCACTTGGAACAGTCTTTGCCATTACCCTTTTTGTCTAGATAATTTCTATGCATTCTTCAAATGTCAGTTTCAGTGCTGTTTCTTTTTTTTTTTTTTTTTTTTGAGACGGAGTCTCGCTCTGTCCCCTAGGCTCGAGTGCAGTGGTGCTATCTCGGCTTACTGCAAGCTCCACCTTCCAGGTTCACCCATTGTCCTGCCTCAGTCTCCTGAGTAGCTGGGACTACAGGCACCCGCCACCTCACCTGGCTAATTTTTTTGTATTTTTAGTAGACACGGGATTTCACTGTGTTAGCCAGGATGGTCTTGATCTCCTGACCTCATGATTCGCCCGCCTCGGCCTCCCAAAGTGCTGGGATTACAGGTGTGAGCCACCGTGCCTGGCCTCCGTGCTATTTCTTAGGGGAATTCTTCCCTTACCATCTAAAGTTGGGTTCAGTGCTTCTCCAACATGATCACAGAGAACTCTGCTTTTTCCTATCAGAAAACACAGACACTCTATCAAAACTAAATATTGTCTATAATCATCATCAATCTGTAAGTTCTTTAGAGGTAAGGATTGTGTCTTTCTTGTTCACTGTTTTATCTCCTGCACAGCACAGAGTAGGTAGGAGTGCTCTTAGGCAAGTAACAGAATTGTACTTTAGTATTTTATCAGTGAACTTTGGGAAGTGTTTCCTTTCAGGGAAGACCAATGCTATGAAGAGCAACAGGAAAGGTGTTTTGGCACTCCTGTCTTTCTGAAGCCACAGCTGTTAGGTTGGGCAGGACTGCCTGACTGGGAGTCACACCGACTTTTGCTGCCAGCAAATTAATTGATAATAGCTCTGCAATTGTGAGTTTAGGCAGTGAAAAAATAAATAAAGTAGATGGCTCTGGAGGCACACACTGGGATGCAATAGTGCAAATTAATAATAATAATATCACCAGGCAAGTGGACCATAGGTAGCTGAAGCTGCCATACTGACTTCCACAGCTGGCAGGGAGATCTCTGCAGATTCACCCCGCAGGATGGAGCCCTCAGGTATCTTTCTTCTCCATCAGTGCATGGAGCCAAGTTCACTATTTGGACAGGTAGTGTATTAGTTTACTGTGACTGCTGCAACAAATTGCCACGAACTTAATGACTTAAATAATATGCAGTTATTATCTTTTAGTTCTATAGGACAGAAGTCCAGGATGGGTCTCACTAGGGTTAAGTTGAAGGCTGCATTCCTTTCTGAAGGCTGTAGTGGAGAATCCAGTTCTTAGCCTTTTCCAGTTTCTAGAGGCTCCCTGTATTCCTTGCCTCATGGCCCCCTTCCTCCACCTTCATAGTCAGTAACAGCTAGGTGAGCCCTTCCCATATTGAAATCTCTCTGGTTCTTTGAAGCCTGGATAGGTCCTCCACTTTCAAGGATTCATGTGATTACATTGGACCTACCTCTATAATCCAGGATAATCACCCCATCTCAGGGTCCTTAACCTTAATCACATCTGCAAAGGCCTTTTGCCATGTAATGTAACAGTCACAAGCTTTGGAAATCAGGGCATAGATATCTTCAGGGGCCATTATTCTGCCACCATAAGTTATTCTATCATCATTGAAAGTGTCTCCAACTGAGTTGCTAAAATGCCCTCTTGTGCTTGACAGTGTAGTGAGTGTTATGGTGTACCACCTGCATTTCTCTTATGATGCAGGCACTCATTCCCTCAGCTGCTGAGAGCATTGACAGCAACTGCATGCAGCTGGATCCCTTTTTGGGAATTGCCAGCTGCTGAAAAATGCCACTAACCAAAGTCACAGTTTCTTCTGGGGGACCACCTGCACAACTTGTCCTGGTTGGGGAGAGAGTGTGAGTTTAAAAACCAAACTTCTCTTCTTCGATGTGGTATCACTCTGAAGTCCTAGTCTGGCTCCAGCCCTCCCTAATGCCTTCTTTATGACCTCATCCCAGTTCAATGTTTCCCTTTGCCCAGTTCTGCTATCTTCATTTCCCCACAGGTGTTGATTTCAGAAGCAATTCTCAGTAAACTTCCTGCATGCAAATCACCAACTCAGAATCTGCTTCCTGGGAACCTGTCTGCAATATGCTGTGATAGACAATATGTGGAGTCCTGCAAGAATCTGGAGATTTCCTAAAGCCAAACACAAATAAGAATAAAGAAAAGTTTTCAATCATGCACTCTTTCACTGATGAAATCTACCTGATTTGTACCCACTAGCAAGCTAACATCCATGCTTCTTAAATACTGTTGATCCTCATTATTCAGATTTCATATTGGAAAATTTGCCTTCTTACTAAAATGTATTTGTAACCCCCAAATCAATATTCATGTCACTTTCATGGTAATTTGCAGACTATGACACACAAAGACTGATAAAAATTTGAGCTTCCCAATTCGTAGTTCCCAGCTGAGGTCAAGTAAGGTAATGCTCCACCTTCTTATTTCAGCTCTCATACTGTAAATGTGTCCTTTTTGTGGTCTATTTAGTGCCATTTTTTTTGCATTATTTCTCCTTTTTTTTTTTTTTTTTTGAGATGGAGTCTGGCTCTGTCGCCCAGGCTGGAGTGCAGTGGCCGGATCTCAGCTCACTGCAAGCTCCGCCTCCCGGGTTTATGCCATTCTCCTGCCTCAGCCTCCCGAGTAGCTGGGACTACAGGCGCCCGCCACCTCGCCCGGCTAGTTTTTTGTATTTTTTAGTAGAGACGGGGTTTCACCGTGTTCGCCAGGATGGTCTCGATCTCCTGACCTCGTGATCCGCCCGACTCGGCCTCCCAAAGTGCTGGGATTACAGGCTTGAGCCACAGCACCCGGCTTCTCCTTTTTTTTTTAATTGGTGATTTTGCTGCTTGACTGGCCCCAAATGCAGTGCTGAAGTACCTTCTAGTGTTTTTAAGTGGAAGGCGCCTTGATGTTCTTTAAAGAGCTTATATTAGGTAAGCTCCATCCAGGCATGAGTTAAAGTGATATTAGCCTTAAGTTCAATATTAATCAACAATATCTATTAAATACGGTGTCTTTAAATAGAAATACGCATAAAACAAGGTTACTTACTGATTAGTTGATGACAATGGCATGACTAGGGGCTTATAGAACCTGTTTTCCCCTAGAAGCAATAGTCTAGTATTCACTAATTCAGTGTTCTTGGTGACTTTGAAGACACTATTACCATAAATAACAAAAATATGCTGTGTACTTCTATATAAATGCATTTTCAGTATACTGTAGTAAGAGTCTTGTGATTATTTCATTGCCTTGTATATTCTGCAGCCTCGGGGTGTCCTGAATAAGAACTGTGAGTGTACATGCCTGAAAGCAAGAGAAAAAGGAAATCCTCTTTTCATTTCATATTCCACCAGACCAGATATTCTGCTTTAACCTGGCTTCTGACTTATAGGATGAGATGATCTTTGAATATTTGCTGGCACCTTTTATGCGCCGGGAAAAAGAACCCAGATCAGTAGATTCCTGAGCATCTTACAGGAGTACTGTAAGAGGAGTACAATGAGGTTAATTGGTGGAGTTCAAAGGCAGCCATAAACATCATTTCTCCCCAGATCATATGTTGTCTCCTGCAACTTACAGAGCAACCAAATGGAAGAGTTTTCTGACTCCTGTGTTCAAGCTATAGGTAGGAGAAATAAGAATTCCATAAATATGGACTTGAGAGGGGCTGGTTCTATTCACCAACCTATAGTGATTCCTATTCAACCCTGTTCAACTTCCTACAGAATTTCTTTGTTTATTATTATTTTTTGTCCTAGTGCCAAGGTTGTGTGCATGTGTTAGTTATTGTGTTTCTCATATGTTCATTGGAAAAAGAAATCAATTGAATTTCTTTTTTATTTTAACTTTTATTTAAGTTCAGGGGTACGAGTGCAGGTTTGTTACATAGGCAAACTTGTGTCATGGGGATTTGTCATACAGATTATTTCCTTACCCAGGTATTAAGCCTAGTACCGATGAGTTATTAGTTATTTTCCTCTCCCTCCTCCCTTCTCCACCCTCTGAAAGGTTCCCTTGTGTTTCGTTTCTCTTTATGTGTCTATGTGTTCTCATCATTTAGCTCTGACTTATAAGTGAGACTATGTGGTATTTGGTTTTCTGTTCCTGTGTTAGTTTGCTGAGGATAATGGCCTGAATTTCTTTCCAGATGCCACCAACTGAGGACTCAGGCCCTGCTGTCACATCTCAGCAGGTTGTCCCCTCTTTCTGATACCCATAGGCCTGTCCCTTTGCTCATTCATGTTAATATTATGTTTCTTACTGGATTGTGACTAAAACAGGCACCACTTTCTTAAGCTCTACAGAAAGATGGATACCTGAATTTTGTTAAATACTCCAAAGAAATGGTAGGTTTCAAATGGCCTTGCTTTAGACATTTGATTATTTCCTTACAAGTTTATGTAAACTGCATTTCTGTAATTGCAATTATGTGTTATATGCACTAAAAGAGTATTGGATTTTTAAAAGCATCTTCTGGTACATTATTCCATAGTGAAGAACACTTTTATAAAAGGAATATTCACCCCATAGTGCATCTGTTTATTGATCTGGATTTGTGTTTCCTCAAAGATGCTGTTGACTTCCCAAGCACAAACTCCCGAACGGAAAACAAAAACATCTAACTTTATTTTTTTGCTAAGAAAAATTTTGATTTTTTTTTTTTTTTTGTACGTTCGCCCATGCCTCTTGATGAAGTTCCTTCTGGGTATTGCTAGTCAATTCCCAATTTTCCTTTTTTTCCCCTAGGAGATGGGCCTTCGCTGTTTCCTAGGCTGTAATCACTGTAGCTTTGAATTCCTGGCTTCAGGCAGTCCTTCTGCCTCAGTATCCTGAGTAGCTGGGATTACAGGCTTGTGCCACCACATCTACCTAATATTTTCTTTAAAAAAATTTTTATTGTAGAAATGGGGTGTTGTTACATTCCCCAAGCTGGTCTCAAACTCCTGAACTCAAGCATTCCTCCTGCCTTGGCCTCCCAAAGTGCTGGGATTAAGAGTGTGAGCTACTGTGCCCAGCCCAAATGCATTGGTTAATCATTAGCTTTACTCTCAACGATGTCAATATCTTTCCTGAGTTCTTGAGGATCTGAACTGGTGCCACGGTGTGAGGATGAGGATGTGGCATGGTGGAAGTAGGGAACATGTGGTCTCAGGCATCCATGCTGATGTTCCTGTAAGACACCCTCAGCATTCTCAATTCTCTGCTTTTTGGTCGTACAGATGACTTCAGTGCCCTCACATCATCTCAACCACTAGGACTTTCCAGGATCTCTGCTCTCTGAGTCATGCCCTCACCATTCTGTGCCACATAAGGAAAAGTTCTACTGCTTCCTGTGCCACACTGGAAAGCATGAGAACTCTCTGAGGCTGCTTGAGGTGTGTCTGCCTAATTACATGTCATAGGCATTTTCCTTTGACTGGACCCCCCCAGTCATGGGGAGCAAAGTGTTTTTTTTTCTTCACCTGCAGATTTGGAACCTCTGCTTTCAAGTCTTCAAACCTGCAGGAGTACTTTAAAAATTTTACGTCTCCCAGTGCATATAGCATATAATCAGAATCATAGACAGGCAATTTGCATGCACTTTTGCAAAACTACTCAATTGCTTCTGGACCTCGGGTGAGGGCGTAAGACACAGGCTCCTCATCCGGGATGCACTGAAGTAGGTTTTCTCTTTCTTCCCTGGGCAACTCATGCTCCCTGGCTACTTTATAGAATTCTTATTCAGGGGACAAGGTTATCCTGGCTTCATCATTCTCTCAAATGTATTTTTATGGCATAAAGTTTGTGTCTCGAATCCTTTAGGACCTTTGGTTTGATTCTCAAAACATCTTTTCTTCAAGCTAATGCCTCTGCCATAAATTTCAAGAGACTTTAGATTTTCATGGAGAGGACTCCCTTGTGACCTGAGTTTGGCTATTATATTCTCTCCTGTGGCAAGAATATACCAATCTAGTTTGAATAAGGAAGGGCCAGGTGGTCTGAGGAAATGCCTTGGAAAGAGATTGAAAGTGTGTGGGATACAATCATTGATATTTAAAACTATTGTTCAGATATTCATGTGCATTATGTTTAGAAATCTTTGTTATGAAAAGTTTTAGGATCTGTTTTACTTTATTCTGTATTTATTTTTTCCCTTTCTTTTCACATGACACCACTGAGAAGCTACATTACCGTATAAGAAATAAATACTTGATGACATGTTACTTCTTTAAGTCAAGTAATGGAACAAAGATTTCTAACTATGCAAATACCTATGGAAAGCAAATAACCTTTTGCTGTGTAGAGTACGCTAACTAAATTGAGCCATCCATCATTACATGACTGCATTTGGGGCAGATTAAACAGAGAAAACATTTATTTATTTCACTTTCTTTTCAGCTGCTCTCTTTCATGCCCCCATTTCTTGATGAAGCACCGAATTCTAGCAGCACATTCTTGTCTCCAAAAACACACTCTTTTATTTATTATTGTGAAAAGGCTTAATGAGAAATGACAACCTGCCACCTCATCATGATTCAGTTTTTAGACTATCTAAAGTCTTCTAATTAATTTACTTCCAATGTGATTTTCATCCTTCTTAACATTTTATTGATTTATCCGTTAACCAACTGCAACATTTCTACTGAAAGCAAATATAACACCGATTCAAATAATTTATTCTTGTGTAAGCTTATCTTCCAATGCTGTCACCCACACCTTAATTCCTGAGACATAGAAAAAAGGTTGAATATTTTTTAGAAGTACCATTTAAACTACTCCTTCCCAGAGTCTGTGTCCCCCAATTCATTCCTGTCCATCAACCTTCTTTTTTGTTCACTCTCCTCTTTGCCAAAGAAGACTTAATATTTGTCACTATAAAGATGCTCCTGTAATACTCCCTTGCTCCTTTCTCCTCTTCTCACACTTGATAGCTAAACCACAACTATCTTTTCCTGTACTCAAACAGCTCCTGAAACAGAATCCAATGCCTATTAGGAAAAGAAACACAGAGCCATTATTTAAACAATGAGCACATGAGCAAATGACCTAGTAGATGAAACAGAACGTTTGAATTTTAAAGCCCCACTCAACCTCCACCAACTGCAGCTAGAGATCATGAGAATTCCCCTCAATTCACATATTGTTCCTGAAACAAGAAGCAACAGGACCAGAGTAAACTTAATTAGGAGGAG